AAAGGTTGAGGTCTGAAGGATTTTAGCAACTTATGATACAACAAAAACATGCCATGTTCTAATTAATGTGATTAGTACCTTTTAATGGTTTGGAGCCTGAGAGTGTTGAGTCTAAGATAGTGTTATAGGTTGACAGTAAATACAGAGAAAGGGGCAATAAAATGGATTTCTGTGTCAAGGGAAATGTGGGTTTTTATAATTTATATGTTAAGTTTTAAATGGTGGTGTATCTCCTCTGTCTCCCAGTCCCATAATAATGGACCCATTCACTGCCTCAACTCCAAGAGAAACTGTGGAGCGAGTTTCAGCCTTGCTGGGCTGCAGTCCGACTTCGGCCGAAGTGGCCGCGTACTTGGACAAACATGACAAACTGCAACATCTCAGAGAAAAATTTCTGGTTCCCAAAATTGCAGATTTGCCTACTTGTGAGTAAAAGATACCACAGTACAGAGGAAGCGGCTCAGTTATTTAATTATGTAAAACTGATTTCGATTCTTTTCTTTTTGACATTTCTATAGCTGATCTCTCGCTGGTCGATGGCACCAAGGAATGCATCTACTTTGTGGGAAACTCACTGGGGCTTCAGCCCAAAATGGCCAGACAGTACCTGGATGAGGAGCTGGAGAAGTGGGCCAAGATGTATGTTAACCCTTTCATTCCACAGGTACCACAATGAATGATGAATTTTATGCTGAAAAGCATGAACTCTTCTACAGGGCCAATCATGGTCACACAAAAGGCACTCGTCCTTGGGCATGGGCTGAAAACAACATAGAGGACCTCATGGCTAAGATTGTTGGTAAGAGGTGTTACTCTGCATTTCTCTACAAGTTAAAATATGCAGGTATTGTTTATTAAGGTGTTAGGCTTAAAGAACCCAAATCATTATTTTGTTCTGTTTTTTACAGGAGCTAAGACTGAAGAAGTGGCACTGATGAATGGCCTGACAGTCAATTTACACCTTCTCATGGTAAGGCAGTTATGTTCTACCACACTTTTTGGGTAATAAATCAGAAATGTGTGAGATTTGGTGACTGCTTTGAGAAAGTCAAACTATGGAAAAATCACATTTGGTATCAAAACCCAAATATTTGATCAGTTTCAGTACTAACAGTCCGTTAACACGATTACTCTCCAGCTTTCGTTCTACAAACCCACAGCAGCTCGGCACAAAATCCTTCTAGAATACAAAGCCTTTCCTTCAGATCATGTGAGTAAACCTATAAATGTTGTTTCCACAGGCACGGGCTATTTGTGTTGCTTAGTACTGAGTGCAGTGCACATGTAAAACAGGTAACAGCATGGACAAGTTTAGACCCTGGTTCCTCATGCAGGTAGAGGAACTATGGGTTCCTGCTTCTTGGAGCTACTTCATACAAGTTTATAGTAAAACAGAAATGGTATAACATAAAATATGATTGTATTAACTGTTTTGCTTTTATTACCCACGTCCTTCTATGTGATGTTCAGTATGCTGTGGTATCCCAGATCCAACTGCGAGGATTTGATCCTCAGCAGAGCATGCTGTTGCTGTCACCCAGACCGGTAGGTCTGATTGTACCAGACAGTTGGCATGTATGCTGTGAAGTTAGTCTCACGAATGGCTGTTCAACTCTATGTTGTGAGGCTGCATTAACTCTCAGCTGCACTTTTCACTTTAGCTGCTTTACCACAAACATAGGGAGAAGACGCTCTGAGAACTGAGGACATCTTGGAGGTGATCGAGAAGGAGGGCGACTCCATCGCAGTGGTGATGTTCAGTGGAGTTCAGTACTACACTGGCCAGCTCTTCAACATGGCTGCCATCACCAAGGCTGGCCAGAGGAAGGTTACAATAAACAAATAGGATTGCCCTTTTTATCTGCAGCAGCGGATACTTGAAAGATCTTTTAGAGAATTAAACCAGATGCC